CAAAGACATTGCTATCATAAAGAAAAAGTTTATGAACTTCAGCAATGAACAAGGATCCACAGAAACCAGCTCCAAAATTTCTTCAATGGCTTTCTTTTCTTCTTGGCTACATTTCTTGGCAACTCTAATGAAGTCTGCCTGGTTGATCTTCAGTGTTCTGATCTGTGCAGCTCCTATACGAATGTATTGGTCCAACTGGTCAAAAAATTGTTCATCCTTCATCTTTGAATAGTTCAGTCTTTGCTGAGTGGTCCTTTGAACTGGTGGGCAAGGGGGAAGCAAACACAACAAGGAAATCCAGTGAAAAAAATAGAAACTTGGGTTGGAACAAGAAAAATGTTCTGTTAAATGATACTTCTTGGGGCTGAATCTTCACCATGGCTGTCTTCAACTTCTTTGATGCAACCACAAGGTTCTTCACAACTGAGACCAATTTGATGAGAAAAGGTGATATTTTGTGCAACCACTCTGGATCAGGTGCTGTTTTCCAGGTAACCTTTTTTGATGGCTCTGGTGCCAACAAACTCCAAAGGTCATGACTGCCCTTCTCTTTGCAAAATTGGTTGATAACCTGCTGCAAGTCCAGCACACAGACTGATGGATCTGGCACCAGTCTACCCATGGCACTGAAACACAGCAGTGTTTCTCAACATTTTTTGGTGTCTACCCTAGGAGCCACAACCCTGTAAGGAATATGGCTTGCAAAAAGAAAAATTGATAGATACCCTTTATAATGCAGTGGATTCATCAATATTGTATGCAGTGTGTCAATCAAAGTGCACGGATTCGGTCTCTCAAAATCACGGGTGTTCCTATCAAAATGCACTTGTCTCTCAAAGTGTAGGTTTCTCCAAGTGCTGGGCCTCTCCAAGTGTTGGGTCTCTCCAAGTGCTTACCCTTTCCAAGTGTTGGGTCTCTCAAAGTGCTTGGTCCCTCAAAATGTGGGTCTCTCCTCACAGTGTTTGCAAGTTTGCACCACCCAACAGTGATTAAACATTATCTCAAAGTGACTCTCACTCTCATAGTGTCTCTCACATTCCACCATGTCAAAATCAAACTTCAACTATTGTCTCTAAACCTGGCTCTCACCCTCACAGTGTTTGCAAGTTTGTACCACCCAACAGTGATTAAACATTATCTCAAAGTGACTCTCACTCTCATAGTGTCTCTAACATTCCACCATGTCAAAATCAAACTTCAACTACTGTCTCTAAACTGGGCTCTCACCCTCACAGTGTTTGCAAGCTTGCACCACCAAAAAGTGATTAAACATTATCTCTAAGTGACTCTCACTCTCATAGTGTTCGCAACATTCCATATCCCAAAAATAATAAAAATAAACTTAGGAATCAATCAAAATATCAAAAAAGTAATTCACAAATATTCAAAAAATGACCAAAAATAGTTAAAAAAATAGTTAAAAAATAGTTAACTTTTTTAAATTATTTTTTTATTTTTTTAAAAACTATTTAGTTAACTTTATTTTAACTATTTGCTATCTATTTTTTTACCTTTTTACAACCAAGTTAACTAAGTAGTTAACTTTTTTGGGAGTTAACTATTTTCTTCTTAATTGTCTAACCTCTTCTATAGGGTTGGGTTTGCAAAGAGTTGGATCGGTAAGGCAGGCTTTAAAAGCCTCGCCCTGGTAAATGGGCAGCCTTGCCGTGTCCGGCTCACCTGAGGGGGGTGTATTTGCACCCCATGTAAAACATAGCTGTATTATAGATGTATCTGACAGCATTGCGGCTCAGTATAAAAGGCGCTGGGTCGCTAGCTTAGCGGTTTCTTCCCCTGTTTAGGTTTATCAGTCCATTTGGGTATAACTAGGTTAACCCTTGCTGAAACCTGAAAATACACTACCGTCTCGTGTGCTGTAATTACTTTTTTTTCGTCGACGTCGAGGCCCGCAACCGCGGAAACAGAGACCCTACTTCGGCGACCCCAGAAGCCACACTACCCGAAAAAACATCGGGTTTCGGGCCCAAAAGTGTTTTCACCCGTGAACGCATGCGTTCCCGAACTGTTACACTTCCCAACTGCATTGATGATTGGTGGTTGACATGATGATGTGGTTGATATATCCCCGTTCCAATTTTCACTACAAAGTGGGCGATGCCGTGCTTGGTACAGACTGGCCACGTCTATCCATTTCTATGAATTTGTAGCAATGGTCAAGAAATGGCGTTTGTAGCTGTAACCTGTGCTACCATTTTGTTGCAGGGTGTGATCTTTATTGATAAGACTGATAGACCAACATGAACAACAAAATGAAGAGCACTTTGTAGAGTGATATTTTCCGTTTTGGTTGTGAACGTGCTGGCCACTTCGTAGTGAATGTTGGGTGCATTTTGTAATACATTCTGGAGGTAGATTGGATAGAACCACAGATTTTTCAAGATTTTTGGTAGCGAAGTTATGCAAAACATTGAGAAACTATAGGCAACCAGACCTGCTTTGATCATTCTAGAGCAGATACCCTAGTTGCCGGGAACCTTTGTCCTAGTTTCCAAATTCTACTGGGTTCGTTTTCTTTTCGTCCAATAGTCGAATTTTACGCAAATTCAAATCCATGCTCAGATCACAGCTCTGTCAACCAAATGGCTTACAACTATCCGAGAAATTCAAAATGTGAATGAAAGCACGTCAAGCAACGTATGCAATTCCGGAAATGCACCAAAAATACACCGGACATTATTCCCGAAGATGTTGCATACTTGCAGTTGCGCGTATCGAATTCTAGTAGGGTTTTGTTTTTTTGTCAAACGACGGTTCCTTAAACTTGAGTTGCATTGTCTAGCTAGCAGTCCCCCGAGGGTCCCCGAATCCCCCGAATCAACCAAAATTATCCCGGATTCATGTTGGGCCTTTTGTTAAGTCGTGCCGAATTTCAGTTGCATTTTGTATTGTCAATACTTGGGGAATCCTTTTTGGGAACTTCTGCCGAAATTACATTTCAGCACAAGAATTGCCGAATTCTAAAATTTTTGCCGAAAACCGAAAAAAATGCCGACAATTCTCAATTCTGCCGAAATAGGTTTTTCATGGGCTGTGCTCATTTAATTGTAACCAAAACTGGGTAATTCCGCCGAAATTGCGAGCAATTCCGCCGAAATTGCGGGCAATTCCGCCGAAATCTGCCGACATTTTTTCTGGCTTTACTGGGGCAAACATTCAACAATCAATTCCGCCGAAATTGGTCTCCAATGATGGAATTCCGCCGAAAGCCGTTTTTAAGAGCGAAATCTGATAATTCTGCTGAAATCCTACACCGGCAAAACCTTCCATATATACATTTGGAGATTTTCAAGGTAGGCCAACCCGAGGACGTGTATCTACAAAGTGCCTGCGCATCTTCACCCCTGGAAAGTGCAGGGGGATGCTGACATGATGATGTGGTTTTTATGTTGACATGATGGCGGGAAAGCTAACCATGACAACCCTCCGTAACTCGGAAATTTTCCAATTAAATTTCCTTTAATGAAATGCATCATAAATTAGACTGTAAATAAACCAAGGCCCAGCACTAAACGAACCTTAAATAAACATTCAAACAACCCTAACCCCGAACCAACTCCTTCAAAAAAGAAAACTTGTACAGCGTTGAAACAAACCAAAAAAAAACCTAAAACAACATTAACTAAATTTTGAATATCCCCCTAGGAATTTCTCCTAAAGAATGCGACAACCCGGGTTTTCGCTAAGAATGTAATTTTTTTTTGGAAACGAGTGGTTTTTCCACATGGCTAACCCGGACTCCCCATTTTTGGAGGGGCATCCTGGGTCATGATTTTTTAGAGTGCATTTTGAGGGGCAATAGTAATAGACATGTTTTTTGAATTGTGGAAATCTGCAAAAACTGCTGTTGTGCGATGGCCATCGCTTATATATCACAGATTAGTCAATCATGTTACAACATTGACAACAAATTTCAGTTTCTCTTTCCACAAGGACAATCTTCATGGACGCCGAACTATTGCACATTTATGAGCATTTGAAAACAGAGCGTTTGAAAATCATATATTGTTAATTATCGCCCTTGGAATTTCCCTTAAAGAATAAGACAACCCGGGTTGTCAGTTTCTTCCTGGTTCTTTAGAGATTTTTTTGTTAATTTGTATTGGTTCTTGCGTTTTTTATGCAAGACACCTGGTTTTGATTCTTTGGAGAACCTTGCTTTGGAAGCATATTTGGCCATTTTGAAACCCTAAGTTAAGCTTGTCAATTTTTAAGGTGCTGGCCGAAACATGGCTCAAAAAGCGCAGACAAAACTGACACTAGACTCGTCTTTACCATTAGCATATGTGTGGCCATTCGGGTTCGTGGGCTGCATCTTGTTTGGCGCTGCTGAATTCACATCACATGAGTTCTGCGACAGTGTTCGGGTCTGCTTAGAAGCACCGGTGGCAAGGTGAAACCTCAAGCCGGAGATGATTGCAACTAATAGCAAAAGCAACAGTCTTGTGCTGGTTCACTCTCATGACTGTCATCAAAACTTTGAAGAACAGACTAGACACTTGGAAATTTATTGAAATCAAAAGGTAAAATGCAATCACATGAATTTGCCTCACAAAAAGTCAAATCCACGTGGGCGGGATTGAGGCATGCAGGTTTGGGGGAAAAAATTGGTGAGACCTGATGTCAGGCTACGTTAAGGCGAGCCAACGTCAGATTAGAATATCACGATAAATTACCGAACACAGGATTATGACTATGTGTTACCATCTTCATCAGTGTGTTTGTTGCGGTAAGGATCACACGCAGTAAATGCCCTAGGAATTGGTACATATGATTATTTCTCATCCCATCAGAAAATATTTCAGAAAATAAATGGTTCATATTAATGATTAATGTTCATCAGAGTGTACTATCATATACAGTGGGGATCAGACGAAGGAAAGTGATTAAGGTGTTTATTGTATTGCGATTTGTTATGATGTTGGTTTTGGCACCGAGACTGTGCCCCGCGTGTTCTTGTTGGCTTTGCTGTGCGATGTCAGGAAAGACATTTTTGAGTACATCATCTCCGAACTGGGAAGCCTTGAACGAATGGATGAGAAAATTCGAAAACTCATGGCTGAAATGTTGATGCGAAATTTGGCCAATGTGGAAAAAGCAACGGGAAGTCTTGTCGATAGCCTGGGCCAGGGCAGCGCAACAGTAGAAACCCTGGACAAAGACCACCTTTAATTATTGTTGTTCTTCTAGAATCCTCCGGACTCCAGATTTTAATAATTCAGCATTTTGACACTGAACAGTTCGAGGGGTGAGCAGAAAAGGAGGTGAGATTCATCCCTGAAAGAACATTTAAGCATGGGCGATTGTGGAAAAACATGGGAAATTATGGAAAACATAGTTTATCGATTAAGAATGTTGTTTCCATAGTTTTCTTTTTTTGGTCCATATGTTTATCCGTCATGCATTTTTGAAGATTGCGGACTGCACAATGGGCAAAAAACAATGGGATGAAGATTCCTGATTCAATGGTCCTCCAGATCGCCTTCAGTCCTAGTTGACTTTAACTAGATTGCAAGGGAGAGAGAGAGGTATAAAGAGAAACTGAATGATGGAAGTGACCAGAGTTTATCAATCTGACCTTAAATAAAGGGAACAAAGTAAAGGCACCACTACTTCTCCTCCTCCCTTGTAATTTGCAAGACCTTGATGTTTTTTCCAGACCCTTTGGAAAAGCAACCAAATCCTGAGACCCCAGTTGTAATTTGCAAGACCCTTACACCCTCTAGTTCTTGCACTTTGCGAGCCCCTTGATGCTTTCGCGAGACCTTGCTTTCTTGCATATGTGAGATTGCCTTCTTTCATATGTTTGCTCAGTATGTAAGATCCTGCCTTCTTTCATTCATGTGCTCAGTATGTGAGAACTTTGCTTCTTTCATATGCTTGCTACAGCTTACCCGAAACTGATAGTGAGTGACACAAGAATAATTATCCAGCAGCCCTACCTGGTGATTCAATGTCGGGAAAAAATCAAGGGTAAAAGTGCCGCGTCTCAACTCGAGCAAAATCCATATTTCTGGAGAGTGGAAAGCCACCATGTCCCCAAAAATACGTGGTTTTGAGTGTTGTTTTGAATATGTTATGTTTTTTATCTTTGATCATATGAAAGATCAAAGTTCTTGGGAGATGTACTGTTTTTGGATTATTAACTCTTTAGCTCTATTCTTGGTTGCTTGTTTTTTTGTAGCTCTATTGGTTTTTGATAGGTGGTCTTAGTATATGAATGGCAAAGTTCTTTGCCCAACAACATCTTGAAACATAGAGATTCATTGTGTCAGTTGGTACTTCATGTATATATTAATGTATAGGTACTGCCTAGTATACAGCTATTGCAAAGACGGTATATATATATATATACACGTATATGTATATTATATATATTATACATACATAGCACTTTGTATTTGCATTAGTAGTTTTTGATATTGGGCTGCCAGGTCGCCTTTTGGTTGGCACGACAGTTCCAGTGGAACTCTTTTGAAAAATGAAGGTGCAAATTCCAATCTACTGTCCCTGCTCAAGTAGTTGCAATATTTTTTGCATACATCATGGTAACTTGCTGCATCAATGCACAAGCGAGGCAGCCATTCTATAGATACTTTTTTTTGGTAAGGTTGCTTAAGTGTTTCCTTTATATACTTGGTCTTGTGCCCTTCTGGTTACCATGGTGAACTTATAGTGACATAGTGTAAGTTTTACCCACAGTCATGAGTACATTTATGGTAATAAAATGTTTGCCGTTATATTTGAGTGACACAGCAAATTACCATGGAATATGCAGGTAAAAACGCCTTTTCTGAAGCAAGGGGGAAATGAAAGTGCCCCTGGAATTTGCCAACTCTTGTGATCAATCAATATTTTAAGCAAAGAGCTTTTACTGCATTTAAACCTGGAAGAATACCATTGCATATGCAGGACAAATGCACAAAACTTGTGTCTGTAAGGGCATAGGTGACTTGTATGCCACCCATTCCATAACTGTATGTACTATATTTTAAAAAATGTATATATAAAATAAATAGTTGCATTCTTAGTGCATATGCCGCTTGGATGTGTCTACACAGCAAATGGCTATGGTATTTGCAAAAATATGTTGTTTTTATCACAAGAAACCCTCTAGACTCTAGATATCAGTGCATGTTCGAAGCTGCCATTTCTACTATCTATTGTATATTTATATATAGTGCACACTTGTGACAATGCGCTTGCATACTGGTTGAAACCATTCACCCACTAAAGCACAAACAACCCCTGAAACTTTTCATACAGTATATGGATCAAAGAACTTAGAACAGGAGTGAGTATTGATCAAAAGGATGGAGAAGGGACCCATTTCCATATGAATGCATTCTGGGAGCTGCTGCTTCCTAGTCCAATGTGTTGTGTCCTAGCTGTTTTCTGTCAAGTTTTATAAATAGTCTTAACTCTTTTTGGGTGTTACTCATCCTGTCATAAAGTACAGTCAAACAATGATTGTAACAGGGTTTAGATGTGCAGTGGCATAGCAAATTACTGTGAAATATGCAGGAAAAAACATATTTTTGGAAAAAGGGTAAGTTGGAGTTCCCCGCAGGGAAGCAATATATATATATATATGTACACACGATATATTATGTTTCCTCCTTCCTTCCTTTTCCCTGGAGATCTATCCGACTCTCTGGACAACTCTGGCAACCTCTGGGGAAGTCTTACAATCTGTGGGGATCTCTAGCAATACCTTCAAAGTGGTTTCCAATGTGTTCATGTCGATCCTTTCATGACATAAAGTAGCATAATCTAAGTAAAGGTATATGGACATAAATGATCAAACATGATGTAGCAGAAACACTGTATTCCTAAAAACGTGGAAAAATGGGGACCTGACAGCGTCCCTTTCTGATTTAATCAGGGGACTGCAAAACGCTTCAGTTGGCCAATTCAAAACTGGACACATTTCTCTATCATCGATTTCCATGATAATCCATGATTTTCCATCAGTTTCATTCGCAAACCTCACCCCATTTGCTTCTCACCCCATCAATTTGTCAGTAGTCTTGAGCACGCACAAGCTCGTGACTCGTCCAACAGAGCTGACCCCTGGCTATAGGGGGCTAGCAACGAATTAAATTTGGCATACCATGGCTGTTCAAAAAAGGAAATGCATTTGCGTGCTGCTGGTTGTTCTCAGCCATCCAGTTGGATTTGCCCCAACCCGTAATCAATAGGTTGGATTTTTGCATGTTGCCCAAACCCACAGAACCCTTTTGCTATTACTGTGTGAAGCAGATGGACTTTTTTGATTGGAACCGGATATATATTTTGGACGTGTGCATGTTGCAGGCCCATATTTGCAAAGACAGGACTGATCACATTTGGTCGTTTCATGTATTTTCATGCTCTTAGGGATAAATCGTGTTTAAATATGCAGTGACTTCGGCAAAAATTGTTTTGTGGCATCAGATCGGTCTTGTTTTCTTGTGCTGCATGCTGTTAATATTTGATGTGTGACATTAGCGCGGTCCTTCTCCAAGGATGATCCACCTGGATTGTGCACATTGGCTCGCCATCAGGCTGGGGTGCACAACTGGAACGGAAAGTCTGGTTCCGAAGACCAAAATTCCAAACATGGAGACAATAGGATAGAATGGCATAGGACAGGACCAAGCAGGATAGAGTAGGCTAGGATCAGGAACGTTTCCATTAGGAAAGAGGTTAAAAGAAGCTACGCAATGAACTTTGACATCACTGAGCCAGTGCTATACCCATTTTGGGCTATCCATTTTTGGTAGATACATCCCCATGTTTATTCCTCATCATATCGTTTTCATGTGCATTTCCGTGTCCATGTGCCGAGTTGACCTCCGTCTTTGTGGTGGTTTGGATGGCGTACAAGCTGCAGCCGCCCAGAGCCGCCAGCCCCACAGGCGACGTGGGGTTTCCCCGGTAACGACGAGTCGGTGTAACGGACGGGGTGAGGGAAAAACAAACTTGGGAGGTGCCAGGGTTGAATTGTTTGGTGCCAGGGAGCAGCTTGAGGTCTTTTGGGCACAGTTATATATACATTATGTCAAACATGATTTGATCATCATTGAAGAAACAATAGGACCAATAGGAATGATGATTGGGACACACCGGGCCACAGTCATAGAGGATAAACACCTGAGGCTGCCGATTCCTCAACGGGTTGCTGCAGCACTTTGACCTAACTTGGAGCTGAGGAATGCTTCAGCCATCCATTTGGGATTCGCCCCCCAACCTCCATTGGCATGTGGTCACGAACCCTTGCCTGGATCATGCAGACTTTCGTAATTGACTCCACGTTGTCCCTTTACATGTTGTCCAAATCCAAAGAAATCTGCGGGTGAGCAGCTAATATAGATAGGTATGTCCGGTATGTCCCAGGGTTTCTTTTCTGCGCCAATGGTTTGGTCCAACATCCCTGGCTGTTTGTGGCTGTTCGGTGCTAAGCATGCAATGAACGGCGATGTGAAATCACACAAATCATTCGAGTGAACCTGGGCAGAACAAGTCATTCTCTATGGTAGACAGGACTCATCACATTTGGTACTTTCATGATGTTTCATGTACTTCATATTTTAAATTGTTCAATGACTTTGGCAGCCATTCTTTGGCATCGGATCGGTGTCTTTTTCTTGCGCAGCATAGTCTCGTATATTTGATGTCTGACATTGGTGTGGTGCAACTCCTGAGGATGATCCACCTGGATTGTGCGCATTGGCTCGCCATCAGGCGTGGACCACTGGATGGGAAAGCTTGGGTCCCGAAGACCAAACTCTAAAACCTGGAGGCAGTGGGGTAGGTTGGATAGAGCGGATAGGGTACGCTATAGGGTCAGACAGGGCCAAAGCACTTGGATACTTCTTAGATCGGTAGATTGAAATTATCATGGACAGAAGCATGGGGAGAAGGTAGAGATGCAGCCAGACATGTTGTGACGTGTTTGTTTGCCCCTCCTTTGTTCGGAGGACCTTCACAGTGATACTGGGTTTATGAATTATTGAAAATCCACAGCACAGAGAGAGAAATTCAGCTGTCTCAAAGCCAACGTGAGGCGCCCAAATGCGCCCAAGCTGCGGCCGTTGACCAAAAAGTGGCCAAAGACGCCACCCCCACAGGATCGGCGACGTGGGATCTTCTCTGTAACGACGAGTTGCGGGTTAGAACCGACAGGTGTGAACCCCTTGAATTGTTTGTCACCAGGCTGGAGTTTATTTAGGGCACAAGAAGTGACAATATATGACAATATACTGTATGTCATTTGAGTCATTTAGTATTATCAACAGTGAACAAAAAAGGAATTTTGATTGAGACACATGCATCTACAATAAAAACAGGGATGAGCAACATTGCATGAAGCTCTAACCCGCTATTAAAATGAAAGGGGTGTCCGAAATTTGCGTAGAAATGGGATATGCACGACATGGCAAATTTCACAATGGGTGTGCGTGCGCCATGCACACATGGGAAACCACAAGATGCCCACTGATCACCCTTTGAAACGCAACCTGGCACCGTGCAAACACGGAGCCAAGGGATGATCTACTGATTGAACATGGTCATCTCCGTGTCCCACAACAAATCGAAGAGAGGTATATGACAGATACATCGGGTTCCGAAATAGAATTGGGTTCAGCAAAAACATCCAGGTCAGGTAAGTTAGTTCATTATCCACTGGCGCGACAGGAGCCGCTCACAACAGCGACTGCTGCGTTGGCTAGAGACTCGCACCCTGCAGCACCCTGCAGCACCCTGCAGCACCCTGCAGGTTGTGCCGTGCTTGCAAAAGTGACTTTGCATGACTTTGCATGACTTTGCATGACTTTGCATGACTTTGCATGACTTTGCATTGTAAGCGGAAATGAAAACAAGAATTCAAGATGCAGGTTCTTAGAGACGTTGAGGCGCAAGGGGGCTGTGTACATCAGGTATCTTGATTCTCACCGCTCACCCAAACCATCATGTTATTTGGTTCATGTTTCCGACTCTGCGGCCACAAGCCGAGTATCATGTGTTGCTGTGGTTTGAAGGTTTCTTTGGATTTTGCGAACCAAGGTGAGATTGTTGAATGGGCTGCCTATCTTTGTGGGATCAAGACTGCAGGCAAGAAGGATAGAACTCACTCAGAGACTCAGAGATGTTTTTTTTCTGTGGATCAATTTCAATTGCGCTCGTGGTAAATTGCCGAATAACTCGCCAAAATGATGGGTGGCAAAGCAAATGCCTTCAAGATCCTTGAACTATCACCGTTTCTCCCAAACGCAAGACTAGTACGTGATTTGCAGAAAAGAACACAATATGGACAGCAACCGGCGGACACCGATGCAGAAGCGGTGGTGCAGTATTTGGGTGAGTGACTTGTCAAAAGAAAAACGTGTGCTGGCACAGGTGGCGAAGATCTCTTTAGGCCCTTGCTCACAATCAAGCAAAAACACATTCATCGGTAGATCGTCCGAATCTCATCCTCATTTTTTCCTGCGTTTTACCATGTTTTACCAATGGTTGTGAGAGTGGTCCTGGGCAGAATGCCTTAAGTGACATTTGTTTTTTAATGGTAACCCTTCCCTTCCCCCATCCTCCAGGGGCTGTTGTGGTTGACATGTGCATGCGGCTCGCGGCGCAATATTTTGAAACTTCAGTTTAATAGGTCTGCTCTCTGTTCATGAATTTCTGGACAACTGTATGATACCCATGGCTTGTAACTTGCAACTGCCTGGTTTTACCCCCTGGCCTCAATGTTTCCTTGTACACATTAGCTGAATCAGACCCATGGGCACATGGACATTGCCTATGACAGAGTCCTCAATAGGATGCAGCATTTATCAGCATGCAACATGGTGAGCGCAACGCCTGATGCCTGATACACCATGACTTGGCGCATGATGCAGTGGCTCCTCGCAACGATTCTCGTCATTCTTTCTCCTGCTGAGCTACGTGTCTCGAAGCAGAGCACAACTGGACAGCAGAGCACCTCGGCTGCGGTTTCGGGGCTTGGTGGGGGGGCATTGGTCAAGCCGTTTCAACAACTCGTGACATGGGGAGCTACAACAAGCATCTAGTAATCTAGTAGATGCGTTGCATTGCCACAGTGTCTACTTTGAGGTCTTTGCCAGTCTTTGCCGTGAAATTTACCGTAAGGTGGCCAGATGGCCATCAGGTGAAGTGGCAAGTCGCAACTCCAACTCCCGGAATGGTAGATGTGTTCAAGTTAAGCAGATTTGTTGCTATGGGAGGCCCAAATATATGTTATATGTTTATCTTTCTGTTTGCATTGGATTTTTTTGCTTTGCCGCCGCAAGGGAGCCACCCTGTGCCCCAACCAGCAGCTGAAACGGGTGCCAGACATTTGCAGGTGGGCCTTGCGGGTTCACAGAAAGTCGATTTTCTGTCGTGTCTTGTTGTTTTTTTCCGGTTACCTTAGGTTACCTTCTTGGAATTTCCAAGACCCAAATATCACCGAGCTGTGCAGTCTCTGGCAGGACTGTGAAGTGATTGGCTGGGCTGAACTTTGTGAACGAAAGAAGTTGACGGCCGGGTGCTTTCAACTCCAGTGGCTTGGTCACAGGCGATCTGAAGAATGCGATGCTTGCGTGTTGTGGGTTGGATATGGTTGGATAAAGGGGCTATGGTTGGGCCAAAATTGTTTTGACATCAGATCTTTTGTCTTTGATTTGTCCATTTTGTCCTGCTGAAGACATGCACTGTTTGGAAATTCAGAGGTGTCACCTAAAAGACGTTAAATTAAATTCAAACATATACTTCATTCATCTTCATTCAAGCCCTGCAGAAACTTCTGAGTCCCGCGAAAAACCGAGGCCCACCGCGGCAGCGCCACTCTGCGAGCTGCAAGGGCCGCATGGGGCGCCGGCGCAGCTGCGCCCAGCGACTGCCGGGATTCTGACCTTGACATCCGCGGAGCTAAGAATCACCGGGTGCCTTTGAGGAAATCATGTCTGATTCCATGATGGTTCTGAGCCAAGTTTGGTCACGGACCTGGTCGTCTAGAAGTGCTTGGCAAGCTTCGTTGTTCTTCAAGAGAATCTTCCAAAAGTTCCTTCAACGGATATAGTTTGACCGTTGACACGTTTGATTCCATGGATATAATTAGTCGGTGCAGAAACTTCGCGCAGCTCCCAAGGCAAATTCAGATGACTTCCCTTCGCCTGGCAGCCAAGAACCTTGCCTGCACCAGGGGCTGCAGATAGCGAGTCCAAAACTATTTGTGTTTTTTTAGTCATTGCACTACAAACAATTTCTTATAGAATGCAAAAAGACACACGCAGAATGGGGGAGTTCAGATTTACATTATGCAGAGATCAGGGTGCCATGTGATACCATGAAGAATTCAACTGAGGACTGTGAACTTTGCAGATGCTCACGTCGAAGCCTGGCATGAAGCCCCATCGGATCCAAACTCCAACGCATCTGGTGGTGCCTTTTTCAGCGAGGGGTCATTCACTTTGACCAGATCCCGCCTGACAGTTCCTTGGGTTGTTTAAAAAATCAGTATTTTGTTTCGCTCTTAGTGTCAGAATCTTTCTTGAAACTGCATCAATGGCCGTGGAATGCCGTGGATGATTTTGGAGTAAGCTGCAGATACCCATGATCCAACAACAAACGAAGGTGAGAGATGTTCGCGCTACTACTATGGATGGTGGTGGCTTCGCAGCGGGCGGAGACCTGACCCTGGGTGGCATTGCAGGGGCACAGGTGTAGTCGTTGGATGTCCTTTGGGTGTGGGATGCAATGGACCATACGCATTCATTAAGTATCTGCTGAGATAATTCCATTTTACCAACATGGTGAGAATTTGTCAGCTATGAAGTTTTCATTCTGGCAGGGACCGTGGCTCTCATCAGGTGGTCTTGAGGTTTGGGTTGTCGCTTGGGCACTTCGTATCTCGTGACATTTCAGTTTGTTTTGAGATACGCTTTTTCCGGAGATATTTATGTGTGAACTTCATGGAACATGGGATGCACGGGGCAATGGTCCAAGGTGCAGAACTAGAAAATCCTTAGATCCCTTAGGAAGGCAGGCTGACTAGGGAGCAGCCTGGGACACAGCCGAAAAGGCCATAGATTGCTGAAGGTGGTGTGTCGTCGTTTGTCGTCCATGGGAAAATCTGTAAACCATAAAAGGTGTTGCTGATCGCAGAGAGAAGGAGAGCAGAGTTGACGCAGAGATGCATGTGTAAGTACGCCAAGAACATGATTGGCTTTTCTTCTCACTTGGCATACAAGATGCAATATTCATTCTGTTGTGGTGGAGACAACTCTTCTGATCTTCACCTCTTCAATGCGATATGAAAGTATGTACCCAAGGAATGTGCGCCAAGACTCTGGAGTCGTGATCGAGAACGTTTCAGCCAAGTCTGGTGCTGGCTTCCTTGCCACGGGAAATGTCTACATTTCGGTGGGGCACTCAGTGCGTTCGCTGCCATGCTAAAGAGCTGTGTAAAAGGACGCTAACAGGCTCATTCACAGCATGTTCAATTCCCATGTACACATTGACAATATACTTGCGTCTTCCAATGTATGCAAAATTATTGCCTTTTCAGGAATTATTGCTGGCGGCATTTTTTTTTGCCTCCGAACAGATTTTGCATTTTTCTCATGTTGCATATGTTTGCCGGTTTTGAAACGGCGAAAAAACCCGACGAAACGGCGAAAAAAATCAAGAGCCCCAAATGTGGAAACTGAAACGGCGAAAAAAATGGAAACAGCGAAAATTTAGACAACCGGCGATAATTATTGCTGTTTCGGATTTCGAGCGATAATTTTGCACAGTTGGGTTATTCAGGTATGTATTTTGTGTGACTCCCACGGACACGTTGCTGAAAGACACGTCTCTTTTGATTTGTTTGTTCTCTCAACTGACCCTTGTGCGATTGCTGATTGGGTCAGGACAACTCAATGGTCTTCATTCAGAATGCGAGATCCACAAAAAACGGAGGTGGCTTCTCAACCAGAAAACGCTTGCAAGTGTCCAACAGCTCAGTTGTCAGCCTTCAGAATGTGACCACAGAAGGCCGTGGAGGAGGTTTGGATGCCCTTGGAGGGGTTGAGATAGCTGGGAACTCAACGGTCAGCATTTCCAACAGTCACGCTGAAGCAGGAAGCGGTGGAGGTTTTTTCACTGCAAAGGGCTTGAAGGTGTCCACCGGCTCAAGGCTCGTCATTCGGAATGCGACAACTGGATGGTCTGGAGGAGGGATTTGTGCCATTGGTAAGACATTGATCAGCAGGTCCATAGTCACCATTCAAAATGCCATGGCCCGGCGGTCTGGTGGAGGTTTTTACACTGATGACGAAGTTGTCATTGATGAGATGTCACGCGTCAGCATTTCCACTTCAAGATCGGGGATCCAGGGCGGAGGCTTCGGAGCGGAGGGGCGCTTGCAGGTGACCAACAGCTCAGTCGTCAGCCTTCAGAATGTGATTGCTGGAACCAATGGAGGAGGTTTCCTTGCACTTGGGGAGGTTGAGATAGCTGGGAATTCGACAGTCCATATTTCCAACAGTCGAGCTGAGACAGGAGCTGGTGGAGGTTTTGGAACCGCAAAAGGTTTGCAGGTGTCCACCGGCTCAAGGCTCATCATTCGGAATGCGACAACCGGAAGTCATGGAGGAGGACTCTATGCTTTTGGCAAGATCGCGATCAGCAGCCACTCGACGGTCAAGATTTCCAACAGTCGAGCTCCAGCAGGAAGCGGTGGAGGTTTTTTCACTGAAAAGGGCTTGAAGGTGTCCACCGGCTCAAGGCTCGTCATTCGGAATGCGACAGCTGGAAGGCAAGGAGGAGGATTCTACGCCGCCAAAGGCAAGACTACCATCAGCAGGTCCACCGTCAGCATTCAAAATGCCACGGCCAAGCATTATGGTGGAGGATTTTGTGCAGTTGATGAGGTTGTCATCGATGAGATGTCAAGCGTCAGCATTTCCACTTCAAGATCGAGATTTGGCGGAGGCTTCCATACGAACAGACGCTTGCAGGTGACCAACAGCTCATTTGTCAGCCTTCAGAACGTGACTGCGCAGAAGTATGGAGGAGGTTTCCATGCCATTGGAGAAGTTGAGATAGCTGGGAATTCGACGGTCAAGATTTCCAACAGTCACGCTGAAGCAGGAAGCGGTGGAGGTTTTTTCACTGAAAAGGGCTTGAAGGTGTCCAACGGCTCAAGACTCATCATTCGGAATGCGGCTGCTGGAAATTATGGAGGAGGATTCTACGCCAAGGGCAAGACCTTGATCAGCAGGTCCACCATCAACATTCAAAATGCCACGGCCCGGCAGCTTGGTGGAGGGTTCAGTGCTGAAGGAGTCGCAGTTATCCAGGATTCTACCGTGGCCATGTTCAGCACGGATGCCGGGGCAGATGGTGGTGCTTTTTCCGTGTTTGGTTTGACTTTGCACAGAAGTCAATTGTCGGTCAGCCACTCCACTGCAGCCGGATCAGGCTCCGGAGGTCGTGCAGATGGTCAAGTGCTTCTTTCATCTGAATCCAACTTGGTGGTGAAGGATGCCCAAGGTCTCGACAATTCCAATGTGCTGACTGCAGCTTGCCTCCACCTACGTGATCGGTCACACATTCTCTTTGAAGATGCCGTTGGCGGCCATGGGGTGGAGCTGCAAAATAGTGGATGCTCTGCCGTTTGCTCCAACAGCACGTTCCATGTTGCAGAGGATGCAGCCCTGAACGCCAGTGGTCGCTTGAGCTCCGGTCTTCTCTCCCTTGCAGCCTGCCCGAAGGAGAAGGTACGTCTCTCAGGGATCCATTTGCGCTCCTGGTCCAGCGCGTTGCTCAGCACCCGCCCAAGCTCTGTGGTGGTTGACCAAGTGAGTGTCGAGTACGAACCACCGGTCAACAATTTGCAGGTCCTGGCTGCCAAGGACGGGCTGAGAGCGTCAGTGTGGGACATTATCAAATCTCTAGGCCGATATCTTGCTATATCTTGGTAGTTTCTTCTTTGCGTCCTTCTGCAAACGCCACTATCATGCTTATTATGCAACTTCAGGTATATTTGTTTGCATTACTCTGTGATTATAAGGCTCAGTCTTGATGCAGAAAAAAAATGAAAAATAGTTCTCTACCCAGAGCGCCTGCTTTTGCGCTTTTGCAATATCTTCCATGTAGATCTCGATCTATGAGTTTTGGTGGATCTGCATGTGTAACATATCTGAATGTAATATAATGTAGTAATTATGTACAAATTGCGACATGACTTGATTTATCGTCATGTTTGCAAAGTGTGATTGAAATCAGAAGCAACTTGTTGATCTAAAATTGATGAAGGACGGCTTCGAGATCGACTCTTTGACGGTTTCCTGCCAGAACTGCACCTGGGGCGTGACTTTCAACGCTTCGAAGGACAGAAGTCTGAAAGCCGTGAGCTCTGAACACCTGCAGTGCCCCAAGACAGCCACAGCGCCACTTGGTGCCACGACAGCTGAACAATCTCAAATCTCAAGAGAACGGCCGGCAAATTTATGTAGATTACCAATGTTCTTCAACCCCCCTCAATTTCTCCTCTACCTGCTAGATTGCGGATTTGCAGTGAATTCACGGAACGATGCGTCTTTCAGGTGCAATCTGTTGCTATGTCAATGTGCGAATAAGTGTTTAATTTGCATTTGCTGGAAACCACGTTGAGGTCGAAAGGCTTGACGCCACGTTGCAAGTGTTCCAACTACCAGACTCTCAGCTCACCAGTTTCTTTTGCTCTTCTTTTCTCAGTGTCAGCTCTCCTACCCATTGGTTTTTGAAAGCGAAATAATCCACGTGCCAATCCATATAGAAGGCATGATTTTGAGAAATTTTGAAGACATCCAGTTGCAGACACATTATATGCCTTTAATATCCTTTTTTTTTTCTGCCATTATGATATTGCTTGGAGCCTGCAAATGGCAGATGGAAGGATTGCAAAAGGGCGTTTCCGTGATGTCGACGTGGTGCCATTGGAACACATTTTCCAGACGTGCACGTTCTGCTCCTCGCCTTGCACTGGATCAACTGAAAATGTATTGTGCAACATTGTGCAACATGATTTCATGCTCGGCTTTCATGACTTTTCGCACAGTATGTTGCATCTGTTTTCGAGGTGAGCCACACTTTCACTTTCGGAATGACGATTGCCTGAAGCGTGGAGTTTTCACTGCCTGGTCTGACGGGAGGAAGGATGTTTGCCATGTTCTGCCACGCAAGAAGACAGAGCTTGTCACACTCTTGACTGGTGGTGCCGTCGTGGTCATTTTGACCTTCCTTGCGTTCGAGATTTTGCATGCTCCCTTGATGATCACTGATGCGAAGTCAGATTTGGCAGACCCAACACAAGCTGAAAGCAAGAGAACTTTCACGCTTGCAGTTCAAGGGCCAATTGTTGATCTTCACAAAAGCCTGTCTCGATTGGTGAACCAGCGGGTGCGTTATCGGGCAAAGGGAACGGGGTTGATATGGCTAGATTATGACCAGAAGAAGTCCAACGCAATCAAAGTTCGCAATACCGCACGCAGAAAGTTGTTGCTTCAAGACACAAATCCACCGTTTGATTGTGCTTCGTGCAAGGGTTCTTTGCACGCCGCTGATATTTTTTACCTGCTCAGCCTGCTCACTGTATGCATATTATTTGGTGCATTGCTGCCTGCCATCATCAAGGTGGCAGTCACATCCGGAAACGGTGTGGGACACGTTTTCGCGCTTTGGCTTGCAAACAGAATTGTTTTGACCTGACCCTCAAGGGGCAAGAATTATTGCCCGAGGTTAATATTTGCTCGTTATAGCCGATTGGTAAGAAACTGCTCGTGCTCTCAATGCAGCCATCTATGAATTCAACTACCGCAGTACAGGATTGTTTTTTTTAATCATCTCTTGACTTGTCCATGGGTAGAAACCCAACTCATCAAGCCATGCATAGCATATGTTGTGTAAATGTCTCAGGAGCTGACTGTGAAACACCTGTATAAAATTCGCTGAAACTTGGGCATTCTAGTTTGTGCCGGTTTGGTTTTTCTGTTCCCGTTTGACACCTTATTTTTGCGCCCGTTTTGCGCCCGCTTTCTTGGCATATTGTTCACATATTGTTCACTAATCTGGTCAGAAATTAGACATGGATCACTTCGAATCAAAACCCCTTCTGGGATGTCTTAATGCATGCGACTCACATCTCAAAGGACCACCCTGCCCCTGAATGGCCGGAGCTGGGACATGGGATTATTTTCGTGAATTCATAAGTTTTTGCTCGTTTTGCACGAATTTACTCGTTTGGCTGAAAAGTGCTTCAATGGCAATGGAAATTGCGCAACAGCCAATTGATATGAGCCACGATCAAAATGGTTGAAGACCACTAGTATTGCAGGAGTTTTTTGTCAGAGATGTGCACAAAACACTGTAAAGCGATAGGCCCCCCAAAAGCGATAGCCCTGGGACCATACACGACAGTCCATTAAACTCGGCGTAAACCAAGCAAATAGTGTTGTGCACATTCACAGAACGGGCTAAACGGATGAGGCAAATTCAACCTGTGGTGCTCTGCTTCCTACAGTTACCATATCATTTGGCATCCAACTCGCTCGCTGTCTTTCTCTCTCTCTCTCTCTCGCTTTCTCTCTCGAAGAAGAAAAACTAGTTCAATGTGCAAGCATGACGGAGCAGGCAATGCGCGTCACCCACGGCTGGGCTCAGAGGAACCATGTAGTTGCAAGGCTATACCTTTGTCAGTAAGTGCTCTTTCAGGCAAGGCACTGTATCTTCATCTGTTCAAATTCTTTTTGTCTGAGATAGTGTCTGAATTGCAACTTGAATCTAAATCACTGAGCCCCGTCCTTTTTCCGGGAACCTGAAATCCGGAGCAGTTTGTCTTTTGTTATTGACAACATTCTGATTGCTGCTGAATGGGAGAAAGCATTGAAACAATTTTGGCCGTGACCGGAAGAAAAGTTGTCCTGAAAAGGACTGGCCTTGTGTCGCTTTCTCTCTCTATCTCTGTCGTTTTTTTTTTTTCTCTCTCTCTCTCTCGTTTTGTCTCTCTCTCTCTCTCTCTCTCTCCCTCCTTCTCTTTCTCTGTTGTTTTTGTGGCAGGTTTCCTTCGAGCAATGTCAGCTGTTAAGAATTGATTTAGCGATAACTTAGCGATCTCCATTTGTTGCACTCGGTCCCCTGGCCAAGCCATAGAGCCATTTCCATAACTTTAGAAAGCACATGAAAGGACATGATTGCAAAATGAAAGGAACATGCATGCAAATGAAAGGAAGATGAAAGGACATGAATGCACATTGGAATGAACATGAAAGGTACAAGTATATGAAAGGAAAATGAAGGAAACTGAATACAAATGAAAGGAACATGAAAGGATCATGAAAGGAAATGAATGCAAAATGAAAGGAACATGCATGCAAATGAAAGGAAAATGAAAGAAGATGCATGCCAATGAATGCAAAATGAAAGGAACATGAAGCGTTGCCGAACAAAACAACTGCTCGATTCATTTCTGAGCCTGTTTAGCAATGGATTTTGGCTTCATGTTGGAGCTCGAATATGCTGATTTCCACAAAACCCTGGAAAGAGATAGGGCCCTCCCCAAAAGCGATAACCATAACAATAGCAACTACTCGGATGTAAAGGATTTTGCCGGGAGCTCATATAATAACTTGCTTCGATTGAAGTTCCAGGTGTGCACAGACAAATCCAATGCGGTCTTGTCTCACGAGTTTGGGTGCTGTCTTGTGGTTTGCTTTGATGGGAAAGACATTGACATTCCTGGCAAAGGTTACGGCAATTTACATGACCCTTCCTCTGTTTGCTGGTGCTGCACTTCTGCATTTCCCGGTCGCATGGCTCATCCAACGGCTATATCGTAGAACATCATTTTCGGAGGCTCTGGACGAGTACCGGAAGCAGATCCACTGCAAGCCATTCACAGGGCCTGATGCGATCCATCCTCGCAACCAGGGATTGCAGGCGCTGACTCTACGCGGGTTGTGGAAGCACTTCGAGAGATTCTCTCCTTTTTCACCAGCAAAGGTTTTGTTGAGTTGGTTTTTGTTTTGTTTTTTTTAAACATATGTATGCTTAAAACTTGTTTCACACTTATGCTTGGATGCAAATGGACAGGTAGAGATTGGTATGCTTGTATTTGTTCAAGATGTTCAAGTCTGAAAATTGATGCCCGAACTTGTCCAAGTCAGGCTTTATTCTGGAGCGCAATATGCACTTTGTGGTTGCCAACATAGTAACGCCCCTGACGCAAAGCAAGGGTGTGTCCTTTGTAACTCTTTGGGGTGGCAGGCGGGTGGATTATTTTGTGTCACTTGACCATTGTTTTTGGCAATGTGTGTATATTGATTTGTTTTCTTTCCTCTGACATTTGTGCAGTCTCTGCCCAATCCTGCTCCAAAACGCGTCCAGTGCGTTTTGGGCGTTTTGGGTAAGGTCCCATTCCTGGGGCACCAGCTTTCCGCACTTTGTGCAGTCTATCCAGTGCCATGCTTTGTCCAAAGAGGGCCCCACTTCTTGGATCGATGCAGCATATTGGATCTGTTCGTTTGCAACTTGGAGTAGAACACGAGCCCATCACCACTGTTTCATGTTTGTTTCGCAAGCATGCAGCATGGCAGTGGAACATATGTGACGATGTAGGATATGACATCCATGCTGAAGATCTTTTTGAGCTTTGGAGATGAACAGGGAGTGTTCCAGTGAAAAGTGTGTTTAAAGATCTGTGAAAGATGCGTTTCCTTCTTCGGGTCGAGAATTTTGACCAGGCGAACAACCAGTGGAACATTGGAGCCGAACTTGGAAGTGATCCCATGGAGAGCGCCTTTGCACGAACTTTGACTGCGGGAATCAAAGGAGTTGCGATGGTCTTGGACCAGGAAGTGCAGCCTCTCACAAGTGACTTGACCAACATGTCACGAAGGGATTCAGCTGCAATGTACTTGTATGTACTTGTATGACTTGATGATCTTTTATGTACTTGTAATTTTCGCTATCTTTTCTATTTCTTGGCACTTTCGCACAATTGACAGGGACTTCCGTGCTGAGGAGTTTGGTGTCTATTCGAATTTCTCCTGTCCAGCCGTGAGCACTTGGAGTTGGTTTTTGTCACCAACGCTGGCGTAATAGGTGATGCTGCTTGGTGCAAAGAGGGCTGTCTGAAAGTGCGTGGAAACTGGCAACCAACGCTGTTTCTATGAAACATGGTGCTCTAGGGTTGAGTGCAAATGTTGTGGGCCAATCCAAGCAAAGCACATGTTTTATTAATCACCGCTGCAAGGGCAAGCCAGTTATATTGGCTGCTTTTGGTAATTTCTTTTGTCAAGTTTGTGTGTGTGTGCTTGTACTGGCTTTACATTTCTCAAACATGATGCAACCTCTTTTTTTGGCAAATATATACAGAAATTTGTTTTGTTTTATTTGTTTAACCTACATGTCAGCGTGTCCTTTGCTGCAGGATGGCTGCAGCTCCTTTGACATTGCGTTGGAGGTGGGCAAGAAGATCAAATCTCTGCAAGTTGCCACGTGCGGGGCATCTTCAGAGAAAGACAAGAAACTCGATTCAACCAAATCTACACGCCTCATTTCTCGTGGTACTGGAGTTGTTTTTGTGTTGGGCCCGTTGTGGCGGCCTAATGATATGATTTTGATGTAGGTACTTGTAGTTGAGATCATGCATGCGATTTTCTTCGTCCGACCTTTTGGATGTTTTAAGGATAGCCCTTGAAGTTCATAGGTTCACTGGGTCGCGTTAGGAAAGACATCTTCAAGTACATCATCTCCAAGTTGGGAAGCCTTGAGCGAATGGATGAGCAAATTCGGGCGCTCATGGCTGAGATGTTGATGCGAAATTTGGCCAACGTGGAACGGGCAACGGGAAGCCTAGTGGACAGCCTGGGTCAGGGCGGCCAGGGCAGCGCAACAGGCGTCACCCTGACCGAGGAGCGCTGTAAAACCAGAATCCTCCGGAGCTGTTCAATTTAATATAGTTTAATCATAAGCAATTTTGTACAGATTGCAACATGTTGAGCACGCACAAGACCGTGACTCGTCCAATAAATTTGACCCACATGAGCAACTAGCAGCGAATCTGTTTTGGCATGTCACAGCCGTTGGACAAGTAACCCAAAGATTATGCTGCTGGTTGCCCAACGGATTTTGCAAAGCTTTGACGTGGCTTGAAACCAAAAGAAAATAAAATTGGAACAGCTATGTGGTCGTTTCCGTTTGGCCCACTTGGACATTTGCTGGGACTGGGAAGCATGATGAAGCATGTCACATCTCAGGAGTTCTTACCTGGTTCATGCAGGTACTAGACGTAGATTGACTGGGCCTTTTCCTTTGCATGTTGCCCAAATAGAACCTTTTGATTCCTCTTTACCTTATTATAGAGCAACCAAAGCACACCAAAGCAACTATATACCATTTTATACCTATATATGACTATATGAACCTATAGATCGGTACGGTATGTCCCATGCATGCGTTTCTCTGCTGGGTCTGATTGAGTTAGCCAACCAGGTTTTTTGGTTTGGAAGGAAGAAGGATGTAAAGTCACATGGTGACATGCAACAAATCTTTGGGGTCACCCTGGAGAACACCTTCAACGAATTATGCTTGATGGCTGAACTGGAACCCAAGCTGGAAAGGGACGCGGCCCCCAACAGATGGACATTATTGATTGCTACGCGAAAGGGTTTTTTTTCGTGTACATGGCAGAGAGCCGCCACCACTGATATTATATAGTGACTTTGGCCACTGATATTTGTTGGTTTCAGATCGGTGTTGTTTTTTGCCTGAGATTGCTGTTGTATCTGATGTCAGACATTGGTGTGGTGCTGCTTCTCCTTAAGGACCATCCGCCTGGATTGTGCGCATTGCCTCGCGATCAGGCAGGGGTGGATGGAAAACTGAAATGGAAAGTCGGGTTCTGAAGGCCAAACTCCAATACGTGGAGGCGATGAGATGGGTTGGACGGGCCAAGGTAAAGGCAATTGGATGCAATTGGGCAGCAGGGAGAGATACGGCGGGACACGTAGTCACATGTTTACTATTTTTATTATATTTGTCGAGAGGATTATATATAGAGGATAAAACAGAAGCTACAATGTGGAAATCCGCACGAAGGAGCCGGCTCGTTGGTGTCTGCTGGTTGCATCCCCGTGTACGATACATACGTTTCATCATGCTTGTCATCCCCATTTCCGTATTCATGGAGTTGATCTCCATTTTTTCTGGCAGGATACTTGGAACCCAGTGGCAATTTGCGAAGCCAATGTGAGTCGGCCAAGCTGCGGCCCAATGAGTGGCCAAAGACGCCATCCCAACAGTCTTTTCTGCGAAACAACAAAAAGCGGGTTATGTTATAACCAATAAGGGAGATAAGGGTGAGAAGCAACGAACCTTGTGGTACAAATATTGCGCATTTGAACACCTATCATGAGCAGGTTTGGGTCTCTGTGGCATCATTGTGTCAGAAGTCACAAACACTTTGATCACCAATGAAGAATCAAGCCAGAGGAACATTGACTAGGACGCATTCACAACCGAAAAGACGGCAAACACCTGAGGTTTGCAAAACATTGCAAAACCACAACCACTACATGAAGTTTTAGCCCACCAATACAGTTTTCATTCCTCACGCATTCGGGAAACCACAGGACGTCTGCTTTTCCTTCCCGGAAAAGCAACCTGGAGCCCTGCACTGCCAGGGCTGAACCATGATGTTCTCATTGAACATGGCCATCTTTTTGTTCCACAATAAAGTTAAGAGAGGTACACCCACAATTTCTGGGGCAGGATAAGTGATTTTGGACCGCGCCGTGGAGTCATCCACTAGCGCGACAGGAGCTGGCTACAATAGCCATTGCAGCGTTGGCCGGAGGCTTCTTCTACCAGCGACAGAAAAACAGAGCACTCTGCAGATTGTGATGTCACGCTTGCGAAAGTGATTGTGCATTGGAAGTGGAATTGAAAGCACATATCATGTTATGTGTTCTAGGATTCTAGAGATGTTTGGGTGCAAGCGGCCTGTGTATTTCGCGTTTCTTGATTCTCATATGGGGCATCATATTATGCTATTGCCATGGTTCATTTTTGGGCCTCTGTGGCCACACGCTTTGCTGATGGCTTGGAGGCTTCTTTGGACCTCATGAACCATGGTGTGTTTGTTGGATGGACTGCCTCAGCCCTTGCTTTGATTTTGTGATCAAGACTGCAGGCAAAAAGGGCAAAGTCAATTTGAGTTTTTAGGTTTGATCAATTTCAATGCGCTCGTGGTATGAAATCTTGCCGGATAACACGTCAAAATGACGGGCCGCAACCACCATCCAGTCGATCTGAGCAAAGTATTATACCGTCTCTCTCCAACGTAAGCCTAACGATTCGCAGAACATGCAACATGCACAGCAGCCAGGCAGCGATGCAGAAGCGGTGGTGCAGTATTTGGGTGAGTGACTCGTCACAAGGAAAGTTTGTGCTGACACTGGCGGCATGCATCTCCTTAGGGCCCTGGTTATCATCGAAAACACAATCTTTTTTTCTTGTGTTTTAAACGGTTGCGAGGGTCGTCCCGCGACCGGCTGCCTGAAGCGTCATTTTTAAGGGCCAACCTGCCCCTCCATGTTGGAGGGGCTCTTGTAGTTGACAGGTGGATGCTGGGCACGGCTCAATGTTTTGAAACTTCAACAGTTTAGTAGCATTTTAGCACTGCTCATGAACTTCTGGACACAACTGTGCATGCCATAGCTGGCACATAGCAACATATAGCAACGTTTTCCTGCATGCTTCACCTCCTTGGCCTGAGTGCTGCATCGACCATATGAGCACAGAATCTTCAACAGGATGCATCATTCAAACTCTATATGGTTAGCACAACACAGGCATTGAACTCCCTGTATGGTAGTGGTGCTTGGTGGCATCCTTTACCCGCAAAAAGCTTCACGATATGCCGCGTCACGCCATGTTACAGTTGCTCTTTGCAACGTTTCTCTTCGTTTTCTCCTTGGCTGAGCTGCGCGTCTGGAACAGGAGCACGTTTATTGGACAGCAGGGCACCTTGGCTGCTGGTTTCGGTGCTTGGCGGTCCCTTAACCAAGCAGCTGAGTTCAAGCACCTAATTGAGGGTGGGTTATTTCTTGTGAAGAGGGGTTCTCTCTACGCGCAACTGCTGAGATTGCATAGCATCTCAAAACATGCATGAATACTGCAGCTGCCTTGCCCAGTGAAATGTGTCCTAAGTTGACCATCAAAAAAAGCTGCAACTCGCAACTACAACTCCCACTAAATGTTTCTTTCGTGAAAGACTTGGTGCAGCTGGACGCCCAACAATTTTGTATAGCTATTTTTTGGGCCTGTTGGATTGGCTCTGCGGCACTGCAAGGTAGCCACCCTGTTCCTGAAGCCGCAGATGGAGCGGGTGCCAGACATTTGCAGGTGGGAGCTTTCCAATGCAATTCTTGAATTGTTTTGTTGTTTGTTGTTTATGTTGTTTACTATACACCAAATTGTCGCATTTAGCCGTCGTAAATTCCAAGCGAACCGGAGACACACATCACCGACTTGCGCGTCCCTGCTGGCAGGACTGTGAAGTGATCGGCTGGGCAGAGCTTTGTGAACGGAAAAGGCTGACGGCCGGGTCGTGCTTTCAACTTGAGTGGCTTGGTCACTGGGGGTTTGAAGAATGCGACGCTTGAGGATTGGTGGCAGGTTGCCCAAAAGAGTCATTTTAGGCGAGGGTCGTTTCGACCAGTGTAGTGACTGCACTGAACATTGGTTCTGTTTGTCTGTCATGGTTCTAAGACATGTTTACAATTTCATGCATATAACTAGGGTGCTCCGCTCAATTCCTCCCATTGAAACCCTGAGCCCCGACAAGCCCTGCAACCGAGACCTACGGTGGCAGCTCCACTCTGCGAGCTGCAGGGGCCCGACGAAGCGCCCGCACATTTGCGGCCAGCGGCTACGGGGATTCTGACCTTGACATCTGGGGAGCTACGCATCACCGGGTGCCTTGGAGGAATTCTGTTTGGATACGTTTGATGGTGAGGTGGGATGAGGTGGGGAGATTGGGAGGCACTCAAGTTGCGCAATAGACACATGGACCTTGGCCATCTAGAAGTGCTTGGCAAGCTTCGTTGTTCTTCAAGAGCATCGTCCAAGAGTTCCTTCAACTGATGTTGGTTGACCTTGGAGAGATATAAATTAAATATAAATTAACTATTCTAATTATATAAATTAATATATGGGAGCAAGTCAAAATAGGAGGTCCGGAACAAGCTCCGGGACCACACCCGTTCCATACCCCCCTTCCATACCCCCGTTCCATACCTCCTTGAAGGATCCGTTCCATACCTCTGTTCCATACCTCTGATCCATACGTTATTTTATATAAAATTAAATAAGTTATTATTTATATATATATATATGTATATATATATATACACAATTATACATATATATATATATTTGATTATGTGCAATCTGATTTTACATGTGTACGGACATATATGAGCGCACGAACATACATGAGTGCATACATGCAAGAATACGTTTACTATGCCCAAGCCCTGTGATTGTGTTGGCAAGTCTGTGCCTGCAGCACTTACAGCTGCTGCCTACTTTGTTGTTTGATGGTAGGGATGTGCTTGGCTGCTGCCAGCTGGCAGTCTAAGAATGGATTGCTTGCAACCCTCCCTCCCTCTCAACCTGTGGCAGGTTTGTACCTGCACCACTTAAAGTTGCTGCAGGCTGTGGCACAGCTGTGGTGTTTGATTGTAGAGATGCGCTTGGCTGCTGCCAGCTGGCAGTCTAAGAATTGCTTGCTGCGCTATTCTCGCTCCAAACTGCGAATTTTGATAAAGATGTGCTGCGTGATGGCAGTGCTGTGCTGGAGTGGGCCGTTTCGTTCCAGACCCCGTTCCATACCGTTCCATACCCGTTCCATACCCGTTCCAGACCTGGACCACCCATGTACCACCCCTGACCCACTGGTGAACACATGGCAGGTTCTCACATACAATCGGGTAGACTGCTCGTAAGCCATCCTTTGCGCGTGGGTTATGGGAGGGTAGAGTCTTGCTATGCAGGGACACAATCTACCCCATAGGGACCTCTGAGTTTTAAGAGTAGGAGGTGGGACCTGCGTGACAGGTCTGAAGCTGAGTCGACAGCTTCACATGGTAGCCAGTGGGTGACACTGGCTACCGGTCGTGTCGTATCTAGTGCACGAGCACTAGCCATGCAAGGCAAACCTGCGTTGAACAGGTGTACAACAAGGATGTCGTGCAGATGAGGAGTAGCTTCAATGTGCATATCCTTGAGATGTATATTATATATGTTACATATGTATATATATATATAATTTATTTATTTATGTATAGCCTATATTTCATCACACTCCAAAGGCCCGGAACAAGACCAGTTACGAAGCCCCTTCGTTCCATACGTCCGGAACACCGCGGAACGTTCCATACACAATTTTGACTCGGGACCATATAATCAGTGCAGAAACTTCGCGCAGCTCCCAAGGCAAATTCAGATGACTTCGCTCCGCCTGGCAGCCAAGAAGCCTGCTTGCACCAGGGGATGTACACAGCGCGTTCAAAACTATTTGTGGTTGTATATGACATATTTTCTTGTAGGGTGCTGCATAAGGACGCGCGGAGAATGGCAAGGGAGTTCGGATTGATTATATGCAGAGTTCAGGGTGCCATTTGAGACCATAAATTTTGCATGAAGAATTCAACTGAGGACTGTGGACTTTGCAGATGCTCACGTCGAAGCGTTGCATGAAGTTCTATCCGATCCAAACGCCACCGCATCCGGTGGCGCCTTTTTTAGCGAGGGGTCATTCACTCTGACGAGGTCCCATCTGACAGCTTCTTGGATTATGTGGGTATGGATCAATACCTATTAATACCATTTTTATGGGGATGAACATCCATTTACCAGCTATTTTGATGTTCACCAGGGGTACAAGGTTTTGACACACTGCCATGTTGTTTTAGTAGCTCTTTTGTGCCAGAAATGAACTTAAATGAATTCCTGTTTTTGCAAATAGGTTTCAATTTCCGGTGTCCAACCTGGAACTGCGCATGAGATTAATGGTCTTGGACCCGGATACTGTACTTTGTAGAACCTGTTGACCAGTGGACACGCTGCAGATACCCATGTGATGCGAAACATCCAACGAAGATCCAACGAAGGTGATAGGCTCTGCAGCGGCAGATGGTGGTGGCTTCGCAGCGGGAGACCTGACCCTGGGCATTGCAGCGCGCAGGTGTAGTCGTTGGATGTCCTTTGGGTGTGGGATGCAATGAACCACGGTGGTATTTGAGTTTACTTGACAGTTCTGAATCCACACGCATTTATTAAATTTTATTAAGTATTTGCTGAGGGAATTCCATTTTACCAACACGGTGAGAATGTGTCAGCTAAGAAGTTTTCATTCTGCCAGGGATGGTGGCTGTGATCAGGTGGTTTGGGTTGTCGCTTGGGCACTTCGTATCTCGTGACATTTCAGTTTGTTTTGAGATACGTTATTTCCGGAGATATTTATGTATGAACTTCATGGAACATGGGATGCACGGGGCAATGGTCCGAGGTGCAGAACTAGAAAATCCTTAGATCCCTTAGGAAGGCAGGCTGACTAAGGAGCAGCCTGGGACACAGTCGAATTCAAAAAAGGCCATGGACTGCAGAAGGGGATGCATCGTCGTTTGTCGTCCATGGGAAAATGTGTAAACCGTAAAAGGTATTGCCGATCGCAGAGAGAAGGAGAGCAGAGTCAACGCAGAGACGCATGTGTAAGTACGCCAAGAACATGATTGGCTTTTCTGGATTCTCTTGGCATACAAGATGCAATATTCATCAATATTCATTCTGTTGTGGTGGACGCAAAACTCCTCTGATGTTCACCTGCTCAATGCGATGAGATTCGGTCCCCAAGGAATGTGCGCCAAGACTCTGAAGTCGTGATCGAGAACGTTTCAGCCAAGTCTGGTGCTGGTTTCTTCGCCACGGGAAATGTCTACATTTCGGTGGGGCACTCAGTGCGTTCGCTGCCATGCTGAAGAGCTGTGTAAAAGGACGCTAACAGGCTCATTCACAGCATGTTCAATTCCCATGTAATTACACATTGACATATGTAATTATTTTTTGTGACTCCCACGGACACGTTGTTGAAAGACACGTCTCTTTTAAATTTGTTTGTTCTCTCAACTGACCCTTGTGCGATTGCTGATTGGCTCAGGACAACTCAATGATCTTTATTCAAAATGCCAGATCCACCAAAAACGGAGGTGGCTTCTCAACCAGAAAACGCCTGCGAGTGTCCAACAGCTCAGTTGTGAGCCTTAAGAACGTGACCGCTGGAAGTCATGGAGGAGCTTTCACTGCCCTTGGAGATGTTGAGATAGCTGGCCACTCGACGGTCAACATTTCCAACAGTCAAGCTGAATCAGGAGATGGAGGAGGTTTTGACACGGAAAAGGGCTTGAAATTGTCCACCGGCTCAAGGCTCATCATTTGGAATGCGACTGCTGGAAATAATGGAGGAGGTTTCAATGCCTTTGGAGAGGTTGAGATAGCTGGGAATTCGACAGTCAAGATTTCCAACAGTCGAGCTGAAGCCAAAAATGGAGGAGGTTTTAACACTGGAAAGGGCTTGAAGGTGTCCACCGGCTCAAGGCTCATCATTCGGAATGCTACTGGAAATTATGGAGGAGGTTTCAATGCCTTTGGAGAGGTTGAGATAGCCGGGAATTCGACAGTCAAGATTTCCAACAGTCGAGCTGAAGCAAAAAGTGGAGGAGGTTTCAACACTGGAAAGGGCTTGAAGGTGTCCACCGGCTCAAGGCTCATCATTTGGAATGCGACTGCTGGAAATAATGGAGGAGGTTTCAATGCCTTTGGAGAGGTTGAGATAGCTGGGAATTCGACAGTCAAGATTTCCAACAGTCGAGCTGAAGCAAAAAGTGGAGGAGGTTTCAACACTGGAAAGGGCTTGAAGGTGTCCACAGGCTCAAGGCTCATCATTTGGAATGTGACTGCTGGAAATAATGGAGGAGCTTTCACTGCCCTTGGAGATGTTGAGATAGCTGGCCACTCGACGGTCAACATTTCCAACAGTCAAGCTGAATCAGGAGATGGAGGAGGTTTTGACACGGAAAAGGGCTTGAAATTGTCCACCGGCTCAAGGCTCATCATTTGGAATGCGACTGCTGGAAATAATGGAGGAGGTTTCAATGCCTTTGGAGAGGTTGAGATAGCTGGGAATTCGACAGTCAAGATTTCCAACAGTCGAGCTGAAGCCAAAAATGGAGGAGGTTTTAACACTGGAAAGGGCTTGAAGGTGTCCACCGGCTCAAGGCTCATCATTCGGAATGCTGCTGGAAATTATGGAGGAGGTTTCAATGCCTTTGGAGAGGTTGAGATAGCTGGGAATTCGACGGTCAAGATTTCCAACAGTCGAGCTGAAGCAAAAAATGGAGGAGGTTTTGACGCTGAAAAGGGCTTGAAGGTGTCCAACGGCTCAAGGCTCATCATTCGGAATGCGACTGCTGGAAATTATGGAGGAGGATTCTTTGCCAATGGCAAGACCTTGATCAGCAGGTCCACCATCAGCATTCAAAATGCCACGGCCCGGCAACTTGGTGGAGGGTTTTGTGCATCTGATGGAGTTGTCATCGATGAGATGTCAAGCGTCAGCATTTCCACTTCAAGATCGAGATTTGGCGGAGGCTTCCATACGTCCAGACGCTTGCAGGTGACCAACAGCTCAGCTGTCAGCCTTCAGAACGTGATTGCGCAAGGGTCTGGAGGAGGTTTCTTTGCCTTTGGAGAGGTTGAGATAGCTGGGAATTCGACAGTCAAGATTTCCAACAGTCGAGCTGAAGCCAAAAATGGAGGAGGTTTTAACACTGGAAAGGGCTTGAAGCTGTCCACCGGCTCAAGGCTCATCATTTGGAATGCTGCTGGAAATTATGGAGGAGGTTTCAATGCCCTTGGAGAAGTTGAGATAGCTGGGAACTCAACGGTCAGGATTTCCAACAGTCGAGCTGAAGCAAAAAATGGAGGAGGTTTTGACGCTGAAAAGGGCTTGAAGGTGTCCAACGGCTCAAGGCTCATCATTCGGAATGCGACTGCTGGAAATTATGGAGGAGGATTCTTTGCCAATGGCAAGACCTTGATCAGCAGGTCCACCATCAGCATTCAAAATGCCACGGCCCAGCAGTACGGTGGAGGGTTTTGTGCTGCAGGTGAGGAGGTTGTCATCGATGAGATGTCAAGCGTCAGCATTTCCAATTCAAAATCGGGATGGGGCGACGGCGGAGGCTTCCATACGAACAGACGCTTGCAGGTGACCAACAGCTCATTTGTCAGCCTTCAGAACGTGACTGCGCAGAAGTATGGAGGAGGTTTCAATGCCATTGTAGAGGTTGAGATAGCCGGGAATTCGACAGTCAAGATTTCCAACAGTCGAGCTGAAGCAAAAAGTGGAGGAGGTTTCAACACTGGAAAGGGCTTGAAGGTGTCCACCGGCTCAAGGCTCATCATTTGGAATGCGACTGCTAGAAATCATGGAGGAGGTTTCAATGCCTATGGAGAGGTTGAGATAGCTGGGAATTCGACAGTCAAGATTTCCAACAGTCGAGCTGAAGCAAAAAGTGGAGGAGGTTTCAACACTGGAAAGGGCTTGAAGGTGTCCACCGGCTCAAGGCTCATCATTTGGAATGCTGCTGGAAATCATGGAGGAGGTTTCAATGCCTTTGGAGAGGTTGAGATAGCTGGGAATTCGACAGTCAAGATTTCCAACAGTCGAGCTGAAGCAAAACATGGAGGAGGTTTTAACGCTGAAAAGGGCTTGAAGGTGTCCACTGGGTCAAGGCTCATCATTCGGAATGCAACTGCAGGAGTGTCTGGAGGTGGATTCCTTGCCAATGGCAAGACCTTGATCAGCAGGTCCACCATCAGCATTCAAAATGCCACGGCCCGGCAGTTTGGTGGAGGGTTTTGTGCATCTGATGGAGTTGTCATCGATGAGATGTCAAGCGTCAGCATTTCCAATTCAAGATCGAGATGGGGCGGTGGCTTCTCAACCAGCAAACGCCTGCGAGTGGCCAACAGCTCAGCTGTCAGCCTTCAGAATGTGACCGCTGGAAGTCATGGAGGAGGTTTCCTTGCCTTTGGAGAGGTTGAGATAGCTGGAAATTCGACAATCAACATTTCCAACAGTCGCGCTGAATCAGGAGATGGAGGAGGTTTCAACACTGGAAAGGGCTTGAAGGTGTCCACCGGCTCAAGGCTCATCATTTGGAATGCAACTGCTGGAGTGTCTGGAGGTGGATTCTATGCCAGGGGCAAGACCTTGATCAGCAGGTCCACCGTCAGCATTCAAAATGCCACGGCCCGGCAACTTGGTGGAGGGTTCAGTGCTGAAGGAGTCGCAGTTATCCAGGATTCTACAGTGGCCTTGTTCAGCGCCCATGCATCAGCAGATGGTGGTGCCTTTTCCGTGTTTGGTTTGACTTTGCGCAGAAGTTCAATGTCCATCGGCAACTCCACTGCAGCCGGATCAGGCTCCGGAGGTCGTGCAGATGGTCAAGTGCTGCTTTCAGCACAGTCTACTTTGGTGGTGAAACATGCCCAAGGTCTCGACAATTCCAGCGTGCTGGCAGCAAGCTGCCTCCACCTGCGTGACCAGTCACAAATTCTGTTTGAAGATGCCCTTGGTGGCCACGGGGTGGAGCTGCAAAATAGTGGATGCTCTGCCGTTTGCTCCAACAGCACGTTCCATGTTGCAGAGGATGCAGCCCTGAACGCCAGTGGTCGCTTGAGCTCCGGTCTTCTCTCCCTTGCAGCCTGCCCGAAGGAGCAGGTACGTCTGTCAGGCATCCACCTGCACTCCTGGTCCAGCGCGTTGCTCAGCACCCGCCCAAGCTCCGTGGTGGTTGACCAAGTGAGTGTCGAGTACAAACCACCGGTCAACAATTTGCAGGTCCTGGCAGCCAAGGACGGGTTCAGGCTGTCAGTGTTGGACATTATCAAATCTCTAGGCCGATATCTTGCTATATCTTGGTAGTTTCTTCTTTGCGTCCTTCTGCAAACGCCACTATCATGCTTATTATGCAACTTCAGGTATATTCGTTTGTATTATTCTGTGATTATAAGGCTCAGTCTTGATGCAGAAAAAAATGAAAAATAGTTCTCTACCCAGAGCGCCTGCTTTTGCGCTTTTGCAATATCTTCCATGTAGATCTCGATCTATGAGTTTTGGTGGATCTGCATGTGTAACATATCTGAACGTAATATAATGCAGTAATTATGTACAAATTGCGACATGACTTGATTTATCGTCATGTTTGCAAAGTGTAATTGAAATCAGAAGCAACTTGTTGATCTAAAATTGATGAAGGACGGCTTCGAGATCGACTCTTTGACGGTTTCCTGCCGGAACTGCGCCTGGGGCATCACTTTCAATGCCACAAAGGACAGTAGTCTCAAAGCCGTGAGCTCTGAACACCTCCGGTGCCCCAAGACAGCCACAGCGCCACTTGGTGCCACGACAGCTGAACAATCTCAAATCTCAAGAGAACGGCCGGCAAATTTATGTAGATTGAACGGCCGGCAAATTTATGTAGATTACCAATGTTCTTCAACCCCCCTCAATTTCTCCTCTACCTGCTAGAAGGCGGATTTGCAGTGAATTCACGGAACGATGCGTCTTTCAGGTGCAATCTGTTGCTATGTCAATGTGCGAGTAAGTGTTTAATTTGCATTTGCTGGAAACCACGTTGAGGTCGAAAGGCTTGACGCCACGTTGCAAGTGTTCCAACTACCAGACTCTCAGCTCACCAGTTTCTTTTGCTCTTCTTTTCTCAGTGTCAGCTCTCCTACCCATTGGTTTTTGAAAGCGAAATAATCCACGTGCCAATCCATGTAGAAGGCATGATTTTGGGAAATTTTGAAGACATCCAGTTGCAGACACGTTATATACCTTTAATATCCTTTTTTTTTTCTGCCATCATGATATTGCTTGGAGCCTGCAAATGGCAGATGGAAGGATTGCAAAAGAGCGTTTCCGTGATGTCGACGTGGTGCCATTGGAACACATTTTCCAGACGTGCACGTTCTGCTCCTCGCCTTGCACTGGATCAACTGACATTGTATTGTGCAACATTGTGCAACATGATTTCATGCTCGGCTTTCATGACTTTTCGCAGTATGTTGCATCTGTTTTTGAGGTGAGCCACACTTCCACTTTCAGAATGACGATTGTCAGAAATGTGGAATCTTCAATGCCTGGTCTGACGGGAGGAAGGATGTTTGCCATGTTCTGCCACGCAAGAAGACAGAGCTTATCACACTCTTGACTGGTGCAGCTGTCGTCGTCATTTTGACCTTCTTTGCGTTCGAGATTTTGCATGCTCCCTTGATGATCACTGATGCGAAGTCAGATTTGGCAGACCCAACACAAGCTGAAAGCAAGAGAACTTTCACGCTTGCAGTGCAAGGGCCAATTGTTGATCTTCACAAAAGCCTGTCTCGATTGGTGAACCAGCGGGTGCGTTATCGGGCAAAGGGAACGGGGTTGATATGGCTAGATTATGACCAGAAGAAGTCCAACGCAATCAAAGTGCGCAATATTGCACGCAGAAAGCTTTTGCTGCAAGACACAAATGCACCATTTGATTGTGCTTCGTGCAAGGGATCTTTGCACGCCACTGATATTTTTTACCTGCTCAGCCTGCTCACTGTATGCATATTAGTTGGTGCACTGCTGCCTGCCATCATCAAGGTGGCAGTCACATCCGGAAACGGAGTGGGCCACGTTTTCGCGCTTTGGCTTGCAAAGAGAATTGTTTTGGCCTGACCCTCAAAGGGGCAAGAATTATTGCCCGAGGTTAATATTTGCTCGTTAGCCGATTGGTAAGAAACTGCTCGTGCTCTCACTGCAGCTATATATGAATTGAAATACCGCAGTACAGGATTGTTCCCCACCTGCCAGGTGAGGGTTGTTAGATTTTATCAGAGCTGTTCTCCTCCTCCTCCGCCTCCTCCTCCATCTCCTCCTCGTCCTCCTCCTCGCAGTCCAGATCCCAGTGGGCACTGCCGGACCTCCACCGCGAGCTCCAGATCGCAGTGTGCACTGCCGGACCTCAACCGCGACTTCCAGGTTGCAGTGGGCACTGCCGGACCTCAACCGCGACTTCCAGATCGCAGTGGGCACTGCCGGACCTCAACCGCGACTTCCAGATCGCAGTGGGCACTGCCGGACCTCAACCGCGACTTCCAGATCGCAGTGGGCACTGCCGGACCTCAACGGCCAGATAGAATGCCAGAAGATATGCCAGATAGAATGCCAGAAGATATGTCAGACAGAATGCCAGAAGATATGCCAGATAGAATGCCAGAAGATTTGCCGGAATAGAATGCCAGAAGATATGCCAGAAGATATGCCAGAACATATGCCAGAAGATATGCCAGATAGAATATGCCAGAAGATATGTCAGATAGAATGCCAGAAGATTTGCCAGATAGAATGCCAGAAGATATGCCAGAAGATATGCCAGAACATATGCCAGAAGATATGCCAGATAGAATGCCAGATAGAATGCCAGAAGATATATGCCAGATAGAATGCCAGAAGATATGCCAGATATAGAATGCCAGAAGATGCCAGATTGCCAGATAGAATGCCAGAACATATGCCAGAAGATATGCCAGATAGATGCCAGATAGAATGCCAGAAGATATTCAGATAGAATGCCAGAAGATTTGCCAGATAGAATGCCAGAAGATATGCCAGAACATATGCCAGAAGATATGCCAGATAGAATGCCAGATAGAATGCCAGAAGATATGTCAGATAGAATGCCAGAAGATTTGCCAGTAAGAAAATGTATTAAATGCCATGGTGGGGATCATTTGAAGTGAAGTATTTTTTTTAATCATCTCTTGGCTTGTCCATGGGTAGAAACTCAACTCATCAAGCCATGCATAGCATATGTTGTGTAAATGTGTCAGGAGCTGACTGTCAAACACCTGTATAAAATTCGCTGAAACTTGGGCATTCTAGTTTGCGCCGGTTTGATGTTTTCTGTTCCCGTTTGACACCTTATTTTTGCGCCCGTTTTGTGCCCGATTTCTTGGCATAGTGTTCACCAATCTGGTCAGAAATTAGACATGGATCACTTTGAATCAAAACCCCTTCTGGGATGTCTTAATGCATGCGACTGGCATCTCAAAGGACCACCCTGCCCCTGAATGGCCCGAGCTGGGACATGGATTATTTTCGTGAATTCATAAGTTTTTTATGGTTGTTTGCTCGTTTTGCACGAATTTACTCGTTTGGCTGAAAAGTGCTTCAATGGCAATGGAAATTGCGCAGCAGCCAATTGATATGAGCCACGGTCAAAATGGTTGAAGACCACTTTAGTATTGCAGGAGTTTTTTGTCAGAGATGTGCACGAAACACTGTAAAGCGATAGGGCCCTCCCAAAAGCGATAGCCCTGGGACCATACACGACAGTCCATTAAACTCGGCGTAAACCAAGCAAATACTGTTGTGCACATTCACAGAAAGGGCTAAACGGATGAGGGAAATTCAACCTGTGGTGCCCTGCTTCCTACAGCTACCATATCATTTGGCATCCAGCTCGCTCGCTGTCTTTCTTTCTCTCTCTCTCTCTCTCCCTCTCTCTCTCTCTCTCTCTTTCTCTCACTCTGTTTTTCTCTTACTCACTCTCTCTTGCACTCTCTTGCTTTCTCTCTCTCTCTCTCTCGCTTTCTCTCTCTCGAAGAAGAAGAAGAAGAACTAGTTCAATGGGCAAGCATGACGGAGCAGGCAATGCGCGTCACCCACGGCTAAGCTCAGAGGAACCATGTAGTTGCAAGGCTATACCTTTGTCAGTAAGTGCTCTTTCAGGCAAGGCACTGTATCTTCATCTGTTCAAGTTCTTTTTGTCTGAGATAGTGTCTGACTTGCAACTTGAATCTAAATCACTGAGCCCCGTCCTTTTTCCGGGAACCTGAAATCCGGAGCAGTTTGTCTTTTGTTATTGACAACATTCTGATTGCTGCTGAATGGGAGAAAGCATTGAAACAATTTTGGCCGTGACCGGAAGAAAAGTTGTCCTGAAAAGGACTGGCCTTGTGTTGCTTTCTCTCTCTATATCTCTGTCGTTTTTTTTCCCTCTCTCTCTCTCTCTCGTTTTGTCTCTCTCTCTCTCTCTCTCTCCCTCTCTTTCTCTGTTGTTTTTGTGGCAGGTTTCCTTCGAGCAATGTCAGCTGTTAAGAGGAATTATTTATTTAGCGATAACTTAGCGATCTCCGGCGATCTCCATTTGTTGCACTCGGTCCCCTGGCCAAGCCATAGAGCCATTTCCATAACTTTAGAAAGCACATGAAAGGACATGAATGCAAAATGAAAGGAACATGCATGCAAATGAAAGGAAGATGAAAGGACATGAATGCACATTGGAATGAACATGAAAGGTACAAGTATATGAAAGGAAAATGAAGGAACATGAATACAAATGAAAGGAACATGAAAGGATCATGAAAGGAACATGCATGCAAATGAAAGGAACATGAAGGAAGATGCATGCCAATAAATGCAACATGAAAGGAACATGAAGTGTTGCCGAACAAAACAACTGCTCGATTCATTTCCGAGCCTGTTTAGCAATGGATTTTGGCTTCATGTTGGAGCTCGAATATGCTGATTTCCACAAAACCCTGGAAAGAGATAGGGCCCTCCCCAAAAGAAATAACCATAACAATAGCAACTACTCGGATGTAAAGGATTTTTTGCCGACAAATCTAATCCGGTCTTGTCTCACGAGTTTGGGTGCTGTCTTGTGTTTTGCTTTGATGGGAAAGACATTGACATTCCTGGGAAAGGTTACAGCAATTTACGTGACCCTTCCTCTGGTCACTGCTGCTGCACTTCTGCATTTCCCGGTCGCATGGCTCATCCAACGGCTATATCGTAGAACGTCATTTTCGGAGGCTCTGGATGATTACCGGAAGCAGATCAACTGCAAGCCATTCACGGGGCCTGACGCAATCCATCCTCGCAACCAGGGATTAGAAGCGCTGACTCTACGCAGGTTGTGGAAGCACTTCGAGAGATTCTCTCCTTTTTCACCAGCAAAGGTTTTGTTGAGTTGGTTTTTGTTTTGTTTTTTTACAATCATGTATGCTCACATTTACATTGAATTGTTAAAACTTGTTTCACGCGTATGCTTGGATGCGAATGGACAGGTAGAAATTGGTATGCTTGTATTTGTTCAAGATGTTCAAGTCTGAAAATTGATGCCCGAACTTGTCCAAGTCAGGCTTTATTCTGGAGCGCAATATGCACTTTGTGGTTGCCAACATAGTAACGCCCCTGACGCAAAGCAAGGGAGTTTCCTTTGTAACTCTTTGGGGTGGCAGGCGGGTGGATTATTTTGTGTCACTTGCCCATTGCTTTTGGCAAAGTTTTAAAACTGATGTGTTTCCCTTTCCTCCAACGTTTGTGCGGTCTCTGTCCGGTCCTGCTCCAAAACGCCTCCTTGTGTTTTGGGTAAGGTCCCATTCCTGGGGCACCAGCTTTCCGCACTTTGTGCAGTCTATCCAGTGCCATGCTCTGTCCAAAGAGGGCCCCACTTCTTGGATCGATGCAGCATATTGGATCTGTTCGTTTGCAACTTGGAGGAGAACACGAGCCCATCTTCACGGTTTTGATTAGTTATTTTTGAATTTGGCATTAGCACATGCCTCATGTTTGGGGTAGATGGACCTCGATCATGTTCCACTCTCTTACCTGCCAGACAGACGTTAAACTATAGGGTTCGTCATGTGTGAGCCATGTTAACGAGAAAAAATGCTTTGAGTTGGAAATGCTGTGAAACTGAAGGAAGTCTTCAACAAACTCTGCATGTCACCCAAATAAGCGCAATTGAAGACATATAAACACCAGCATGTTGGTTTATTGTGCGTTTCTTTTGTTATTGGCGTGCACTTTAAAACTAGTATATTTGGCAGGTCTGGGGACTGACCATGTTTTGTTTGATTATTTTTGGTTTACTCAAATTTTTACTGATGTTATTTGCTGTATATTTGCTGTTATTGCCGCGCATTTAAACATACATAAAATTGTTCAAGGGTCTGACCGTCTGACCGTAGATTTTTGTTCATGGTTTCATGGTTCTGTGGGGAGATGTTCTCGCTGGATATTTCTGTAGTTGTTTTTCTTTGGCTGCACTCTCCATTGGATACCCTTCTATTTTTAGGCATTTTCTTCTGTCAGAAAAAACTATATTAGATCTGTGAAAGATTTTGTCTTTTGAGAGAATTCTGCCAAGGCAAACAACCAGTGGAACATTGGAGCTGACTTGGGAAATGATCCCATGGAGAGCGCCTTTGCACGGACCTTGACTGCGGGAATCAAAGGAGTTGCAATGGTATTGGATCAGGAAGTGCAACCTCTCACAAGTGACTTGACCAAATGCGCAGCGCAAGAGCTGTGTTGCCCAAAATCTTTGCCCAAAACCCAAAGACTTCCTGTGCTGAGGAGTTTGGTGTCTGTTCGAATTTCTCCTGTCCAGCCGTCAGCACTTGGAATTGGTTTTTGTCACCAATGCCGGCGTTGTGGGTGACGCTGCTTGGCGTAAACAGGTGTGCTTGTCTCAAACAGCTCGGAACTCTGCAGCCAATGCTGTTTCTATGAAACAATAAGAGTCCTTTGAGCATTGCCCATGCACATGTTGTTGGTAAGGTCTCATTTTCTCGTTTCTGCGCAGTTATGCGTGTTAATCACATCTTGAAAGAAAAAACACTAAAGTTGGCACCCGTTAATTTTCGTCAAGTTTGTGAGTTTTTGTGAGTCAGAAGCGGGGCCTAACAGATATAGCAAAAGTGTAGGAAAGGGCCATATAGCACCATTGGCGCGCTCAAGTTTTGTTGTTTCCCGCTTCGCCAATCGGACTGCTGTAGGCCTGGAAGATCGGTCGGTCAGGTAGTTCGACATGTATCAAACATGGGTGCAACCCTTTGATTTGGTAAGCGGACATGACGTGTCAATGTGTTGGTAGTATGTATACTGTAGTTGCATTTTTTGACCTGCTACGACATGCAAACGTGACGTGCCCTTTCGCTGCAGGATGGCTGCAGCTCCTTTGACATTGCGTTGGAGGTGGGCAATAAGATAGAGTCTCTGCAAGTTGCCAACTGTGGGGCATCTTCCGAGAAGGATAAGCAACTTGATTTCAACCAAGTTTTCACGTCTCATGTTTTATGGATTTGTTTATGATTTTGTTATTTCCCCACATTGACGTGCGGGGTTTTTGTTTTTAGTTCTGTATCCGCCTTCCTCCTCCGCCTCCCGTCCTCCTCTCTCACTCACTCACTCACTCACTCACCCACCCACCCACCCACCCACCCACTCACTCACTCACTCACTCACTCACTCACTCAACTCACTC